CCATAGTCTACCCCTAGGGATGGTGTAGAATATGCTGTTCTCTCTGGTGCTCTTTCATCCAAAATAGATCAGTCTGGAATGTCTCATGCCTGGGGGAAATGGGGAACCTTTAACAGTAAGCAATCATTAGAGAATACGTGGAAGTGGGTTACAGGTTAGACGGTAAAGGTTATTTTCACTCAACAAGGGAGAGTCATGCAGATCTGAAGAAATCAGAACAAACAAGACAATCTTGGACCAAGGAGATGCCGGGAAGGTGATAACAGGGCCTACATCATACTGGCAAAAGCCTTGTTCTGATGTAGGTTAGAAAACTACTTTTGGTAACACCAGATTGCAGGTGGGAGTTCATATGACTGTATACTTCCTTCCCTTTTTTTAAAGAAAAGCCCTGTAGAAGCCCAGTTAGCCCAGTTTGGCCAAAGCTTCAGGGCCTGAGAGCTAAGCAGGGTAGGCCACAGTCAGTACTAGGATGAAAGTCCACCAAATAAAACTGGGGTTGCTACAGAGGGGATGGCAATGGCAAGTAACCTCTGCTTCATCTCCTGCCTGCCTGCAACGCTCAAAGAGAAGATATCTCTATGGGGAGAGATTACCCATTGTAGCTATTTACTCTTTTTTTTCATTTTTAGGATTCCTATCCTAAAAGGATTTTGGATAATATATGTCAAATTCACAGCTTCATGCAAGAGAGGTAGGCTCTTTTAGGTCTGTCCGGCAACACTAATGGAAATTGCAATCTTATTGAATTTTATCTTTTGCATTTGTTTATTAAGAACTTGAGGCGCTGCGGTGGCTCAAGTGGTTAAGACGCTGAACTGCAGGCTGTGGAAGATTGGTAGTTCAGCAGTTCAAGACCCAAGTGCGCCGCATGACGGAGTGAGCTCCCGTCTCTAGTTCCAGCTCCTGCCAACCTAGCAGTTCAAAAGCAATAAATTGCAAGTAGATAAACAGGTACCACTTTGGTGGGAAGGTAACAGTGTTCCGTGCGCCTTGGTGTTTAGTCATGCCGGCCACATGACCACGGAAACGTCTTCAGACAGCGCTGGCTCTTCGGCTTTGAAACAGAGATGAGCACCGCAACCCTAGAGTCGGACTCGACTGGCTTTCGAGCAAGGGAAACCTTTACCTTTACCTTTATTAAGAACTTATTTTTGAAGAAGGAATACTTCGAAACGAAGAGAAAAATATCCAGAATCTTCGCCAAAATAATTTTGGGTTCAACATTAATAGTTTCATTTTTATATGTTGAAGCAAATCTTTGGACTTTTTTCATTGAGAAGTTTGTACTACACTTAGACGTCTGCACTTAGACGTCCAGACGCTTATGTGCATAACCATACTTGAGTTGCAAGTTTTGTTTGTACTTATTGTTTAAAAAAACCTTTCTTTGTCATTGTTCTTTAAGACAACTGTCTGCTTAACTTTGATTTAAATATATCTTCTTCTTTTCTTTTTTTTGAACCCCCGGAGGGGATTTTTTAATTATTTTTTATCACTACAAAAACTACAACAGAAAAAAGGGAGGGGAAGCTACATATACGGGATAAAGAAAAGAACCCACTACTGACTAAAAGCCCAAGAGAGGAGATCCTCCAACTAGCTTAGTTACATCAAGTCTTCTCGTCATTGATCCCTTTATAACCTGAGTCAAACATTTATAACACTTTTCCTTTAAAGCTTAAATTTAACTGTCTAGAAACAGTACCCCCGATCATCCCATAACAAAAGTCTCAAAGGCACATTTCAGAGTCCTTCAGCCTTTACTTCTCCTTTTCCCTTCTCTTCCGCAGCTTGTAAGGACTGTTTGGGGCTGCTGCCCCTTGCTCTGACAGAGAGTCCTCACCGGAAGAACCAGAGTCTAGCTCGCCGCTGGACTTGCTGTCCTCTTCTTTTTTTCCCATCCTCTGGCCTTCCCAGCTGAACCCTTAGGAATTCTTGAGCTTTCAGAACAGAGTCAATCTTTTCTTTTTTATCTTTAATCTTAAAAGTAACGCATTCTGGGAATAGCCATTTATATCCAATTGAGTTTGTCTGAAGAAAAAGCACCAACTCTTTGTACTTCTTTCTCCGTTGTCTTACTTCAAATGGAATATCCTTTAGCGTTCTGATGTTATTCCCCCCTGCTTTCAGGATTGTATCCCTCACATGCCTCTTCGAGAATTTACCACAATTTCCCCACGCAGATTATTTTTCTTTATGTAGCCTGAATATGATATATATACCACATCCATGTCGTTGATCAGCGATTCCACCTTGATTTCTGTCACTGGGGCTAACAGTTCACTCATCACTTCTTTAAGATTCTCCCCTCTGTTCTCTGGCATGCCCTGGAAACGAAGTATCATGTTGGCCTCTTCCATTTGAACTTGCAACAGTTGATTTTTTAAATTTATTTTTTTATTTTAGCTTTCAATTTCTATACCTCTCTAACCCCGAAGGGTCTCTGAGCGGTTTACATACATTACAACTCCTAACTAGGGCCACATAGTCTTGGGGAGGTGAATGCCTACCAGGCACCCTACCAGCTATATTTGATCTTCCATGGAGGCTTGTTTTCTTTCCAGCTTTTGCACTTTCTTCTTCACCTTCTGTGTAGTTACAGCCACTTCCTTTACCTTCTCAGCCTCTTGCTTCATTATTTGTATCAAGTCGTTTATCTGAGTTTGTTGCGCAGTAATGCTTTGAGTCACTATAGACATCTGTTCCTTGAAGTTATTCAGCTGTTCCAGTAGAGGGCGCATGTAATCCGCTACAGACTTTGCCATCTCACTGGTAACTTCCGGTTTTGGGCTCTCAAACCCTTTCGCTTTCGAAAGTTTTTCTCTGTCCTTCTTCCCCGCCATCTTTTCCGTTTGTTTACTTTCACAAATTTTTTGAGTCTCTGAATGTGCACTTGACCGCTTAAATTCGCTTTAGTAAGTACTTCTAGGCAGTTTCCCTCGCGTTTTCTTCCGCTCCCCCCCTCAATCGCTCAAAAGTTTGTGCGCATGGAAGGTATCCCTCCCCCGCTCGTTTTTTCTCCGTTTGGTGGGGTGGGGAGCTATCTTTTTCCCTTTACAAAACACTTCAGAATTGACTCACGTGCATAATTGGTCGTTCGACCTCGCTTTCATTTCATTTCTGCTGCACAACCTCCTGCGCTTGCCCCAGTCAGCGTCACTAAGCCCATTCAGTCTCACAGCCCGGAGAACCATCGGAACGAAGAGGCGCCTCAATTCTCCGGCATTCCGCTGTCGAAGAGGTGACCTCTTAGAAGTTCCATGGCCAGGGTCCCTTCCCCGGGCCCTTGGGGGGGGGTTGCGAGCCTGTGCACCCCCTTCTTCGGCTGGAGCGCAGCTTCACCCCCGGGACGTCCGGGAGGTGAGTCTGCTAGCATGCCTCCATAAACCAGAAGTCCCTTTAAATATAACTTCTTGATATACTCTGTGCATGTTGTCACGGTATTGGCTGGTCTTAGTTTTTTTTACTGTGACCCATCTACTTCCTTGCCAAGGAAGGGGTCACCGCAAGTTGAAGTCAATTGTAACCTGATGACACAGCTAGTTTTCTGTGTGAACTGAATTCGTCTTATGGGGAAGCAATCGATCATGTCGGCTGTCACGCAACAGAAGTATTACAGCCCTCACCTGCTGGAAGTGTTACAGCCAAGACACAAGGTTGTTTTCCCACCATAGCAACAGTCAGACAAAATGTAACAGGTATGTGTAGGTAACTTTGCTGTAGCTTGGCATACACAAATACACAAGCACCAAGAAAACTGTTAAGAGGCTGCAATTCTGAGAAAAAGGCAGGAGTGGAAAGAAGACAGGTTATTTCCATTGGGCCATTGTTTTGCTTAAAACTATGTCCTCCACAGATGTTTTTCTCCTCCCACCAAGAGAAAGTAGGCGGGGCTGAATTTTAGGAGAGAAAATAGCCGAAGGGTTAACAGGCAAATCAGCTTCCCCCCCCTCTTCTGCTCAGCCTCCTATGACTGATTTTCATTTGAGAACAAAAATAACCCCAACCACCACAAAACCCACCGTCTCGACAAAGTTTCACACAACTTACTCCAAAAGTACCCGGGTTTTCCAGAACTGAAGGGCAGAAAAATTCAACAGGTGAAGTTTGCACCCATTTACTACTACTCCACCCCAGAAAAAGAATTAACCTGTATTGCACCTCTGCCTGCTGCACGGCTGCTAAAGAGCACAGAAGCCCTTTAATGTGTCAACCTCAGTAAAAAGTGAGAAGTGGAAATTCGTTGAATGGTATTCAACTTGCATAGGGCAGAAGGGTAGCTTCAGAACAAAACTTGGAACAAAGCTATTTTTCCCCTCCCTCACCTGTTGGTAATTTCTAGAAACAGACCCAGCTGCAATGCAGCCGTTTGAGCACTGGCGTGGGATGTGGGTTCAAATCCCCAACCAACCAGCCAGGCTGTGCTGGGTAGGGCTGCCAGGTCTGGGTTGGGAAATACCTGGAGACTTTGGGGGTGGATCTGGGAGAGGGAGGGGTTTGGGACAGGCGAGGGGCCTCAGCAGGGTACAATGCCACAGAGCCCACCCTTCAAAGCAGCCATTTTCTCCAGGGGAGCTGATCTCTGTCAGCTGGAGATAAGTTGTAAAAGCGGGAGGTTTCCAGGCCCCACCTGGAGGCTGGCAACCCTAGCGCCGGGCAATCTTTTGCCCCTCTCTCTCCACCCACCCAACTTCGCACGGTTACTGCGAGGACAGCTGCTTGAATCGCTCTCTGACTAGCCCGAAATCGTTAAAGCTCCAGCAAATCCAGCCCGGTTTCGTGCTTGGCTGCAAGACCACGAAGGTTGCTATGCGCGCACATCTCTTGCCCTGAAAACCCCATGAGGGGTCGCCCTGAATAGCTCGCGATTTGACACCCAACAATTATCCGAGTGAAGAGAGACTACAAAGGGGAGCGATGCAGGCCACCCTGGCTGAACCCCCGGGGAGAAAGGTGGGAGAAAGGGGAAAGGGCCGGGTCTCTGGGCTGCTCCTTACACCAGTCCGACGACTTATCCTCGAGAAATCCTGCCCGCGAGACGCCAGGCGACCGTGGCTCCCCCGTAGGCCGGCAACTGCGCTCTGCACTTGCTCAGAGGCATGCTCCTCCGTCGCTAGCATCCAAAATGAACGCGGGGCTCGCGGGAAGCCCGCCCCGCACAACGACCACAAAGCAACAAGTCGGCGGCGTCCCCAACCCACCTGGCTGGAGCAGGGGCTCACGCAAACGCCGAGGCAGGCGGGCGGGCGGGCGGGCGGTTCCCCTTCGGCCGCCCGAATCCCACGAAGCCCGGCCGCCTCGGCTCCCGCCCTGCGCGCCTGGGAGGGAGGCGCCCGCTTGACATGCGGCCACTCCCCCAGCTGGCCTGGGGTGGGGCTTGGTTTGGGCGCTCACCGGGTTGAACTGGTGTGGCGGCTTCCAGCGAGACGGTGAGGAGAAAAGGCTGAGCGAGAAGCCTCTCCTCCTCCTCCGCCGCCGCCGCCGCCGCCTCCACAAAAAGGCGCCCAGAAGGGCCCGGCCCCAGCGGCTGAGGAGCCTCGCCTGCCTGGAAGCCGGGCCCCGCTCCCCACCTTGAAAGTGGGCTGAGGCGTCCCTGAGGGGGGATACGAGGCCGTCCCTAGAGGGTGGCACGCTTCCTAACGCCTTCGTGCCTAACGCCTTCCGCCCTGCTGCAAGCAGCGACCAGGCACCCTCCCTCACATAACTTTGGTGTCCTCCCTCTGTTTAATTTTCAGTTTTCAGCGCTAAAAATCTTCCTGAAGTCAAAGACCAAAAAATAAATAAAACCGCACAGCAACTGGGTTATTCACCCAGGGAATTTTCCTCACACAGCTGTGAGCTGGGAGGCCTTTCAAGTCAGTCTCCCTCCCTCCCTGACCCGCAAACACACCCAAAAATGCCTCACAAAACATTGTTTTTTATTTGCCCAGATAATTATGAAAGGGGGTGGCTGCTGCTGCTACCTTGCCCACTGTTATGTATTGAGCCTAAGCAGGGGCAGATTAACCATTAAACAGACTAAGCATGTGTTTAGGGCACCAGGGCCAAAGGGGGCACCATAAAGTTGGGGAAAGGGTGAAAAGAAGAAAAAAAAGAATGAGGATTTGTTAAAAAAAAAAAGGAAAAAAATTGATAAAACTAGTGCAAATTGATCATGGTGCACCCTAGGGTTATATCTTCTATTTTTTGTTGGCAAGGTGCAGTCTCATAGGCTATGTTTAAAAGTAAAATGCATGTGTTTAAAAGTAAAATGATGGAGCCAAATTCAGTTGTCATGACAGTCATTTCAATGACCCTCTCTGCCCCTTTTTAATTTCAGCCCCATGTAAATGTCAAAAATTAAGCGTGTTCAGTTGAGCAGTGCACAAAAGAGAAAACGTGCAAAAGAATCTGTCTGTTGTAGCCAAGACAGAAAAGCTGACAGATTTCTTCTTACAAACTGCAGAGAAAGATGATCCAGATCAAAACCAGTGTCAGTCTTCAGAGACAAGAAGTGAATCAAATGTATCTCCTTCATCAGAAACAGGCAGTTCAAGGCCAGATTTTGATGATGACGTTGCACATGATGAAGTGCCACAACCCGGACCTACTTCCACGACAAGATGTGTAAATGCTTTTGAACTGTCCAAGGAGTTTAGAGAAATGACCAAGGATGAAATGAACAAAGCTAAGGACCCAGGGTTGTGGGATGAATTTTATGGTGATGATGTGACTTATTGGGTTGCTTGTGGACCCAGTGAATGTCAGCACCACAATGGGCCATTTGACAAATCGTGTCACAATTTAATCAGTGGGAATCCAAAGACAGAATATTTTTTGGGAATAAAAGCCAATGGTGAACACTACAAGAGAGAATGGCTGTTGTACTCTCCTTCAAAAGGATCAGTTTACTGTTTTGTTTGTAAACTATTTGCGCCAAAATGGTCAACACATTTTGCTAGAAGTGACTGGCGAAACACTGCTGTAATTGACAACCATTAAAAAAGTACCACTCACCGAGATGCCATGTTGACATATTTAACTCGGAAACAAGGCTTAGACCTTGACACAGCCACTGGAAAAACAAATTGAAGAGGAGTACAGTTACTGGGAGAATGTGCTTCGGCATGTTGTAGCAGTCATTTGCACACTGGCTGAACGAGGATTGGCATTCTGAGGAAAAGTGGAAAAATTTGGAAGCCGGAGCCAACCGACAGCAAACCCAGCATCAACACACAGCAGAATTGCACACCACCCCCGTCCAGCAGCAGCAGGTACTGAACTTGCCCCGGGACACCCCTACAAAATTACAGTGATTGTCCTTATCGAGGGAAACCCCTGTAAGTTGGAGCTCAACACCGGGTCCTCCATCTCCATAATTTCGGAGGACACCTTTAGGAGACTCTGTCTAAGGGCTGGCCCTCACCTTAGGCCTGTTGGTTTCACCTTGAGGGACTTCCAACAGAATGAAATGGCCATGAAGGGGGTGGGCAAGTCCACATCATCGCAGAGCATACATGCTTGCACGCTTTAATGTTCTGCCATCAGAGTGCTTTTAGGGAGGTACTGCCAGATATCATATGTAGACAGACTTTGTCCTTGCTCTCTAAAAGATATAGCATCCACTACACACACCATAGGAGTTGCAGTGGCTCAAGTGGTTAAGACGCTGAACTGCAGACTGTGGAAGGTCAGTAGTTCAGCAGTTTGAGACCCGAGTGTGCCACATGATGGAGTGAGCTCCCGTCTCTAGTTCCAGCTCTTGCCAACCTAGCCATTCGAACGCAAGAAATTGCAAGTAGATAAATAGGTACCACTTCAGTGGGAAGGTAACAGCGTTCCGTGCGCCTTGGTGTTTAGTCATGCCGGCCACATGACCACGGGAATGTCTTCGGACAGCGCTGGCTCTTTGGCTTTGAAAAGGAGATGAGCACTGCAACCCTAGAGTCAGATTTGACTGGCTTTCGAGCAAGGGAACCTTTACTTTTACCTTCATTGCCCCGTCTATAGAGATATCCGATCTCGTTTTATTACTCCATTTCTAGAGGGTAAGAGCTGGCACTTTGATGACTCAATTTAATTCTAATTGCGAAATAATGGAGGCTGTTGCAAAAATTTTATATTATGCAATCAGAAGACGAGACTTGAATAGCCAAGTGTAAGTGACTGATGCATCTTAGTATTTTCCTGTATTTCCATGATGTTTTGTGCTTTCATGCCAATAAAGGTTTTGTGTGTGTGTGTTATACCTGAGTGGGCAAGTTCCGAGTACAGAACCAGAATTTTGATGGACTCCTGGACTTGCTGATGGTGGGGGGCAGGCGCACGAGTCTCCTAGAACTAGCCTGGTTCGCGCCCTTGGGGTTCTGAGTGACTGGGGTGCACCATGTGGCCATGAAAGACTTCATGTGTGCAACAAGTTCCTGGCCATCTCTGATGGGACGCTCGGTTGCTACACCGGACTCACTCCAGCTCAACTCAGAGGTGCGGCCCATACAGCTAAAGGCTAGGTACGTCCCGTTCGCGTTGAAGCCTAAAATAGATGAGGAGCTGGATCGGTTTGTTACCATGTGTGCTTTGAATGTATTATGTGTGCTATGCTGATGCTGTATGTCTGTAAAATGTCTTTGCATTTGTGTACGTGGAATGTGGGAAATGCTGTGTCTTGGATTTGCTTGCTTTGCATCTCATGCTTGCACCTGGAAGCTGCCAGGAGCAGGGCTTGTGCTGCCTATGCTAATGGACATGTGTGTACCCACACCTTCCCAGAATGCCTTGGAACAAAGAAGACCTTCGCCATTAAGCTCAGCCTGGAGACTTGGAAAACAACAGGTCTCCCAACATTACAGATCTCCTGGAATAACACGTAACCCCACATATCTGGTTTGGCATCACAAAAGGACAACATCCTGTTATTGCCTTCCTGGACCAGGCAACATCTACTTTCACCTTTGCAACTTAAGTCTACTGCAGGTGATTCTTAAGTGTTCTCTGGAATCGCGACCAGAGAACCCACATGTGTTTGGCTGGACCATTCAGTGTGTTTGTAGAGTCCCTAAAGTTAGCGCTTTTGTTCAATTCTTGCTGCTGAGAAGAATTACTTCTCTACTGGAACTCAGATAAGTATAAACGCTACCCTTCTGTGTCTTACCTCATTGTTGGTTTGAATTATTATTTTTATTACTTATTGCTTTCTGTATCTACTGTAAACTAAAGGAAACTGTGTGTATGTGTGAACGCATCTGTTTTTCGTGTGCTTGAGAAATATCTAGTAAAGACAACATTTATTCATTAAACCTTAGTGTGTTGTCTCACTTCCTGGGAAATAGGAGAGTCCATTCTGAATCTGCCCTCTGTATACACGGGTAAATTACTCACGCACGCCCACTGCCATACATAAGACAGAGTTGGGCCACGGAACAATCTCATTAGGATTAGTGGGCCAACGGGTTTTGGAGCCAGTTCTGCATGCCCTCTGGGAAACCCTGATCGTTACACCCGTTAAGCCCAACGGTGACGTCCGCATCTGTGTGGACTACAAATGCACCATAAACAAGGCACTGCAGGACCACTCCTACCCAGTTCCGGTAGTCAGCCATGTCTCGGCCTCTCTAGCGGGCGCCAAGGTCTTCGGAAAGTTGGACTTGGCTAAGGCCTACCAACAGCTACTGATGGATGATGTGGCCGCGGAGGCCCAGACTATAGTGATGCACAGGGGCGCCTTCTGGGTATGGCGATTGCAGTTAAGTTTTAACCCCAGGAATTTTTCAGAACCTAATGGACTCTCTCCTTAAAGGAATTGTTATACAAATAGATTCCCAGTCAAAAAAATTAAAGTCAAAATGAGGAGGAAGGTCTTAGTGTTTTAATTGCAATCAAGACGCCTGAAAACAGGCCAAAGCAGCCTATAAAAAATTTTCTGCTTTCCGAACACAATCAGGAAGTACATGAAATTTTATACTTGAAATGACATAGTCATGAAGATAACATTCAAAAAGCATAATTAGTTACAAAAAACAATGCATCATTTGAGTAATAGTTCCCTTATTGGTCAAATGTAAAGAAAGGCATGTATAAACAATATCTTAAAATGTTTACTTAATCTAACCTGAATAATATTAGCCAAGGATTCCTTATACCCAAACAAAGGTGTTTTTTCCTGATACGAAGCTAAAATCCCTTTTGACCGAGACACTGCAAAGTTTGACCCTAAACAACTAAAAACCATGAACTCTATGCCTATCTTCTATACCAAAAGAATGTTG